AGCGGAGGTTCCTCCGTGGAGCCGCCGGGGGCTGGGCCCCTGCTACGGGGAAGGGCGGTGCGGGCCGGGTCCCCTGCAGGGGAAGGTGGGGCTCCTGCCGCGGAGCTGCGGGATCCTGCCCTGGCCTCCCGTGGGCTGCCATGCCCTGGGAAAGGGCCTTGCTGGAGGGTCAGACCTTGTTCTCGGAGAGGTGGAATCCTGCGTGAGGGAGCAGAGCGTGTTCTGTGCGATGCCATGTGCTCTAGGATGGCCCTGCTTGAGCAGGGAGGTTGGACCGGATGATCCACTGTGGTCACAGAATCATAGAATTTTAGGAGTTGGAATGGACCTTATAGATCATTTAGTGACAACTCCCCCTGCCATGGGCAGGGACACCTCCCACTAGACCAGGTGACCAAGGCCTCATCTAGCATGGCTTTGAACAGTGCCAGGGTTGGGGCATCCACAACCTCCCTGGGCAACTTGTTCCAGTGTCTCACCACCCTCACTGTAAAAAAATTTTTCCTAATATCTAACCTGAATTTCCCTTCCTTCAATTTGAATCCATTACCCCTTGTCCTATCACTGCAGTTCCTAACAGAGTTCCTTTCCAGCTCCCATTTCAGCCGGGCCCATTCTGTGATTCTGTGCTTGTGTGTCTGCCGAGGGAGACTCCCCCTCATCTGCTGTATCTAACACACCTGCTGAGGGAGCTGGAGAAGCTTCAGGCCCCCTAAGTGTGCACCTGTTACCCAGACACAGAGGTGCTGCTTCCACCACAGTCGTGTGCCTGTTGCCAGCAGCAAAAACCTGGATCTCAGCTCAGCCTGGGGATGTGCTTCAGCTTTTTCAAACAATAAACCTTAAATAATTGCAGTACTCATGATTTTTTTCTGTTTAAAGAGTAAAACCCTTTAAAACTCTGGGCTTATCTTGGCTGAAGAAGCAACAGATGCTCCTGTGCTTGCCTGAGAGCCTGCAGCTCCTGGGCCCCTCCTGCCTGGCTTGTCCAGTGGCCTGCAGAGAGGGAGGAGGCTCCTGCAGTCCGCAGCCTTCTGAACCCCTCGTAGCAAACACAGATATAGGAGATCCAAACGTGCCAGGCAGCCTTTCACCTTGAGAAAAGGTCATGATAAAGGCCAGAGAACTGCAGGCAATCCAGTGTGTTCCTTGCTGCCACCCAGGTTTGTTTCCGGAGCGCAGAGACGATGATGCTGTGGAAAGGAACTGCTTAACCTCCCACGATGCCCTTCTCTGACTTTGTCTTAGCGCTGAAGGACAACCCATACTTTGGGGCTGGGTTTGGCCTTGTCGGGGTGGGCACAGCCCTGGCAGCAGCCCGTAAGGGAGCCCAGTTTGGGCTAGTGGCTTTCAGGCGCCATTATATGATCACCTTGGAGGTGCCCAGCAAGGATAAGAGCTACCAGTGGCTGCTGAACTGGATCTCCCACCATGCCAAGCACACACAGCACCTCAGTGTCGAGACGTCATACCTGCAGCATGAAAGTGGGCGCGTCAGCACCAAGTTCGACTTTGTCCCCAGCCCCGGGAACCACTTCATCTGGTAAGGGAGGGTAAGGGAAAGCAGTTTGGGGACTGAGCCTCACTTCGACAAGGAAACTGCAATTTGGGGGGGCCTGCAGAGGCAGCAGAGAGGATCCTGCCTCTTCCTTGGGTCAGGGTTAGGGCAGGAGATTGAGAGTAGCGAAAGAAGTCTGTAGTCACTGGTGTGAGGTGATTTCTTTACCCAAGATGAGTGTTGTTGATGCATGACCCAGGCTGGGAGCAGCTGAGTGGTGCTGGATCACTGTACCCCAACCCTGTCTTGCGGCTCCAGGTATCGCAGGAAGTGGATTCGCGTCGAGCGCAACCGGGAGAAGCAAATGATTGACCTGCACACAGGAACCCCCTGGGAATCCGTCACCTTCACTGCGCTGGGCACCAACCGGGAGATCTTCTTCAACATCCTCCGGGAAGGTCTGTAGAGGAGCTCTGTGGGGTCCTGCTGAGAACACTGTGCTCCCTGGAAATGCCCAGGGCTTCATGGGATATCCTCTTCCCTGGTAGCTGTCCCCTCTGCCTCTCTCTGCAGCCCGGGAGCTGGCACTGCAGCAGCAGGAGGGGAGGACGATCATGTACACGGCCATGGGAGCAGAGTGGCGACAGTTCGGCTTTCCTCGCCGCCGCCGGCCTCTCAGCTCTGTGGTGCTGGAGCAAGGCGTGTCGGAGAGGCTGGTCCAGGATGTGAAGGAGTTCATTGACAACCCCAAGTGGTACAGCGAAAGAGGCAAGGCTCTGGTGTGGTGTCCTCTGTACTGTGTGGGGTGGGGCAGGATGCCTGTGATCCTCTATGGAGTTGGCTGCAGAGATTTTTCCTTGCTGCTTGCCTTCCCCATGTGTATCCTCTGTGTGTGCTCAGCACAACCCCATGGCTCTGGGGGAGGGAGCTCAGAGCAATCCAGCTAGTTATCCTAAAAGAACACTGTCTTTCTAGGGATTCCCTATCGAAGAGGCTACCTGCTGTATGGTCCTCCTGGCTGTGGGAAAAGCAGCTTCATGTGAGTGTTGCCATCTGCCTCACAGCAGTTTTCTTGCCAGGTGCCTGGTCTGGGGCACAGCAATCTCAGATTGGAGGGTGTGGATGAGTTTGGGTTTGGAATGCAGGAGTGGGCTCTGCCTCATGCATGGTGCTTGGTGTGTTTGTGTTGCTGGCACCACTACAGGTCAGGGTGACAAGCCCTTCGTGCCCTTGCTTTGCACAGTGTTTCATGGCACTAGCAGGCTGAGCAGGGGTTCCCACCCATCCCTTATCTGATCCCTGCTGGATCCAGAAGGACATCTACTCTCTCCCCTGCTGCTGGGTGGGGAGATCTGGTTCCTCCTCAGCTCTGGACTTTCTTGCTGTGATTCACCCCTGTGCTTTTTTTCCTTCTCAGCACAGCCCTGGCTGGGGAGCTGCAATACAGTATCTGCCTGCTGAGCCTCAGTGACCGCAGCCTCTCCGATGACCGGCTCAATCACCTCCTGAGTGTGGCACCACAGCAGAGCATCATCCTGCTGGAGGACGTGGACGCTGCCTTTGTCAGCCGGGACCTTGCTGCTGAGAGTAAGCAGTACCCCCATTCCTGGGCCATTAGCGGGAGGGAGGCTTGGCAGGAGTACTAGGGGAAGAGCTTTGCTGCACCAGCAGAGACTAGGAGTGGGCATCTCTGAGGCCTCAGGGCCCAGGCTGGACCTTGCCCAGTTTTGGCTAGGCTGTAGAGCAAGTTGGGTCCTTTATCCTCAGGCAAAGATCCATCTCCTGATCAGTTATTTTCAGCATGTGGGAGGAGGTGACTTTGCCTCTTATTTTCTGTTTGGATTCCCATGGGCACATATGGGCAGGGGAGGTAAATGTGCTGCCAGCCAGGCAGAGGCAGAGCGTCAGCTTGAGAACAAGGAGAGAGTGGGGAGTTTGGCATAAGCCTCAGGTGATAAGAAGGTGGCCCACAAGCCTGCACAGGGTTAGTGGCCAGTGGCTGTGATCTCAGACACCTCTGTTCCCAGACCCGGCCGTATACCAAGGCATGGGGCGCCTGACCTTCAGTGGCCTTCTCAACGCGCTAGACGGTGTGGCCTCCACAGAAGCCAGGATTGTCTTCATGACCACCAACTATGTGGACAGGTCAGAGCTGCCCCCTGGGAGGGAATGTGGTGGGAGTAGCACAGGAAAACCTTTCTCCCTTTCAGTGAGCTTTATGGAGGGCTGTTTGAATCCTCCAGCATGAAAACTGGTGGTTCTGGTTTTCTAAATCTTCCCTTAGGATGCAAATCCCTTGATCACTAATCAGGATCCCTTTTCCTGGAGCCCCAGATGCTTCCTTGCTACGCAGAACATGGTTGTGCCCTTCAGGAGTGGCAGGTTTTGGGGTCGTGGCCATGCTGTGAAACGTTGGCCCCACATGCAGCCCATTGGCTTGTCAGGATGCAGCCTGAGCACCTGGCCAGCTGCTGCACTGTGACAGGCTTGGCTCACTCCAGACCCAGCTGGCCTAGGAGGTTGTTCGGAGGTTGCTTATGGGACAGAAGTGGGCAGAGCCACTTCCCAGGATATGCTCATCCTCCTCTGGTGCCAGCCCTTCCCCGGCTCTCATTTCTTTTGGGTTGATTTCCTGCCTCAGCCTTGCTGAGCACACCAAATGAGTGTTTCCCCCCACCTTTACCATGTCACAGTGCAGAGCACTTTACAGATAGGACACCAGCTGTGCTAGTGTGTGTATGTGGTTTCCTGCAGGACCCACCCTGCTTTGATCAGATCTTCCAGGCCCTGCTATGTCTCTCAACAGGCTGGACCCAGCCCTGGTGCGTCCTGGCCGCGTGGACCTCAAGCAGTATGTGGGCCATTGCTCCCGCTGGCAGCTCGCCTGCATGTTCCAGCGCTTCTACCCAGAGCAGCCCCAGGCTGCAGCTGAGCGGTTTGCAGAGCAGGCGCTGGCACTCTCCAAACAGATCAGTGCTGCCCAGGTGCAGGGCCACTTCATGCTCTACAAGATGGACCCTGAAGGAGCCATTTCAAACATAAACTCCATCCTGCTGTGACCAGGGTCTTTCCCCTGTGACACCGAGAGGACTGGACAAAGATGTGACCATCCTGGGGATGTCATGAAGCTGCCCAGCTGTGCAGACCAGGTCTCGTTCACCTCTAAATTCACTCCACTTTTGTGGATTGGGACACCCTCCAATGCCTTGGTTTTTTTTATTATACATGGAGAGTCAGAGCTGCCAGCCTTGCGGCAGGGAGAAGGAATCGGCTGTTGCTGCTTCCCAGACTTGGGTGCTACTGCATCAGCCCCACTCACCAGCATGTGCCTCGTGCTGGAATTGCTGTAAGCTGCCAGGGCTGCTGGGTGTGAATCCCCTTCCTTGTGGGTCATCCTGGGGGTGGCCCAGAAGGGCAATTCCTTGGGGCAGGACAGTGCTACACTGCTAGAAGCTGCTGGTTTTTTAAAGAGCAGTGGTCTCACTGTTTTGTGAATATCCTCTGTGAAGTGTACAACATGGCTTTTTCTCTCCAGTCCCTTTGTGTGTTAGTTGTGCCACTATCCAGCTGGTCCAGAGTCCTCCTGACCAGGTCCTGACATGGCCAGTACTGCAAATCCAGAGTGTTCCAGAAAAAAAGCAGCTCCCAAGAGACAGCTCGTTGCCCCTTGGGCTTCAGGCTGGTGCCACAGTTCTTGCCCTGCTCAGTTGTGATGCCAAGCTGCAGATCTGCTTGGATATCATTCCTAGGTGGGCCTGACTCTCCCTCCTGCCAGGGGGCATGTGGGCCTGTGGTGCTAGTGCAGATCAGTGTGTGGGGACAGAGGAGAGATTTTGGTAAGCTGCAGAGTATCTTCCCAAGAGCTCTCCTCTTCCAGTCCCTCCTTTGGAATCCCAAAAATCAGTTTCCCCAGAGTCAGTCCTGTGTTCTTGTGTTCAGCTTTGGGGATTGCATCACCTTAGTAGGGCTGAGGGAGCCAAACCCAAACTGTAAGTCACTGCTCTGCCCTACAGGGCGAAAGGCATAGCCAAGGGTGCATAGGGATAGGAAGGGGCCCACCCGATGGCACCTGGAAGGATTTTGGTGCAAACAGGCACTGCTTTGATGCAACCTCAGACTTGCACAAATGTTTCTGCAAGTGCAGGATTGGTCATGTGGCCATGGTGGGAAGGGGTGGCTCCTGAATCAGGGTGCTGCTGTTGGCATCTCAAATCCTGTGTTTGCCCATCCCACAAAGGCTGGCTGCTCTGATCCAGCCTCTTCCCTCAAAGCTGGGGGTCAAAACTGTCTAGTGAGTCACTGGCAAATGCCTCACAGCTATTCAGGAGGGTGGGTGAGTAGTGAAGGGGAGCAAGAGGGGCCTGATAGCACCACACAAGAGCACAGGCAACTTCTCTCACTCTGCTTGCTTTTAATAGTGTTAATGCTACAGATGCTGCTAGTGCCTTTTGGCCCAGCCCAAGTGCTTTTGCCAGTTCAGCCTCACAACAGCCTTGTGAGGTAGGTGGGTGACACAGATGGACACCAAGCAAGGGGACCCAGGTCAGGGTACAGGCTCCATTCCTCTTCTCTGACCTGAAGGTTTGGTTTGTTTAGCCCAAACTCATTTCCATATACTGTTGCAAAATGCTCTGTGCTCCAGGCTGATAGCAGTGAGTCAGAGAGGGCCCTTCCTAAATCCCTACACCCAGGAAAAAAAACCTTCCTTCTAACACATCTGGCATTTGATTGAAGTTAGCCAAGTTCTCACTCACTCAGATTTCCATGGTTGAATTCCCCATACTCCAGACAGCACTGGAGCTTTCCTGCTGCGGGTAAGCCTGGCTCACTGGAGGAAGTCAATGAACTTCAGCTGCTGTGAACGGCAGAGATCTTCCACACTTCTTTCAGGACACAATCAACTTCCTTTCTTGGAGCACAGCAGTTTCACAAGGCAGGAGGCAGCAGAACAAGCACCAGTGTCAGGCAAAGTTTAGACCTTTTCACTCAAGTGTGGGCAGGCCATGCACACAAAAAACAGCTGAACAAGGACAGAGGGAGCACTGAAGAAAAATCCGTGCTCTCTTCAGGAAGCAAGTGCTCAGCCCTCATCCTCAGCACCTCAGGGCAGGTAGTGTAGGCTCAGACCAAGGATGGAGAAAAAAAAGTAATGCTTTTAGAACATTAGGGTTAGAAATAGGCCAGTGTTGGAAATCTAAGCACAGGAGGTTCTTGGTCAGGACTTTAAACCAACCTGTTCAGGTCAAGGCCAGGCATGGAGTAAGCAGGGCAACAGGTAGGACCCATACAAGAGAGAGGTTTGTGCACCCTTCATGTGCCAAAGATCAGCCAGGCAGATGTGTGTTCTGGCAAATGCTCTCCTAGCCCACACAGGCTTTGGCTTCCTGGGGATCTCACATGAAGTTTTGGCAAGTCCATTGT